GCTGTCGTAACAGTATATTTAATTAGCTATAGTGGTAACCAGGTTAAATTTTAGCTTCTCTATAAGTACATAGTTTAAACACAAGGAACAAAACTTCATGTGTTTTTTTTTAGTTGTTGTTGTTGTTTTGTTTTTTTGTAAAGTATAAGCTTTCCTATTTGTGAGTATTTCTAATTATGTTAAAGTAAGTATTCAATGTGAATGATTTCTGGGATTGAGTAATTAATTTATAGGAATAAGCTGATATCAATTAATTATATTCTCTTGAGAAAAGAAGGTAAAATGTTATCTTATTGAAATTTATGAATTTCCCAGGGATCAACATGATAGTGGGTTCTCATTTATTTGTGCTTTTTTTTATCTGAAGGAAAATAATTAATAAAAAATAAGCCAATAATTGATTTTCTAAAAGCAAGTGTCTTGCGCCCTGTTTGGGAGAAGGTGTCGAGCTTAAGCCCTGTGACAAAGAACTATTGGGCACAATGGGACCAGTTGAAGCTTGAAAATGGTATTGTTGCGTCATCGAGATCATGTGATTCTCACGCTCTCTACTTTCTAGAATTATCCTGTACTTTGGCGAATGTTCTAGTTCTTACTAGATATAGGGTAGGCGGGTATATATAAGAGGGGACAACGTGACGCGGTAAGGTAATGTGTGTATAGATAGTGAGTAATTGATCTGCAGTCAGAAGTATTATTGAGCACGTTCGTTGTTATAGCGTTTGTTTAGCGCGATTGTTGAAGTTGAGTGTATCGGAAAAGTTATATTCGAAAATAATAAACCAGTTTTTATTAAGAAAGAACTTGTGTCGCTTAAGTTTCGTCGGAACGATTAATTAACAACCGGAGACGTAACAAATTGGTGTCAGAGAGTGGGATAGAAAAAAAAAAGAGAGAAGAAGATGGAAACGAGAGGCGGAAAATCAAACTACAGCTTAGCAGATTTGATGGCAGCAATACAAAAACAAGAAAAGAAACAAGAAGAACGATAAATTAAACAAGAAGAGAAATTACAACAGTTGTTAGAAGAAAAAGAAAAGAAACAAGAAGAACGAGAAATTAAACAAGAAAAGAAACAAGAAGAACGAGAAGAGAAATTACAACAGTTGTTAGAGGAAAAAGAAAAAAAACAAGAAGAACGAGAAATTAAACAAGAAAAGAAACAAGAAGAACGAGAAGAGAAATTACAACAGTTGTTAGAGGAAAAAGAAAAAAAACAAGAAGAACGAGAAATTAAACAAGAAAAGAAACAAGAAGAACGAGAAGAGAAATTACAACAGTTGTTAGAGGAAAAAGAA